CCCCCGGCATCGGCGGTTGGGCAGGCACTTGCGGAGGCGGTCTCACCGGCTGCTGGACAGGGACCTGCTGCGGGGGAACTCCCGGTGCTTGTAGCGGCTGAGCAGGCATCGGCGGCGCGGGAAATCCCGGTGCAGGAGCAACTTGTAACTGCGCGGCGTGTGCGTCCAGGAAATTGGCCATTCTAACGTCCAACATTCCCGGCAGGCCTTCCATCACATCCTGGAATGCCCGCATTAAGTCTCTCACCGAGTCTTCCAGTTCTGCTAGACGTTCCCCGGTAGTTTCCTCCGGGATGGGGTCCCGAGGGCGGTAATCCGGGGGTGGGTCATAGTCCTCTTCCGTTTGGAAGGCTCCGGTGCCCTCTTCATCTTCTGCGTGACCACGCGGTCCCGACGGCTCGAACATCCACTCCTCGAGGTCCTGCTTGGGGCTCCCCTTCTCCGAGGTAGACCCAGGTTCCGGGAACAATCCCTTGTCAAACAGACTCTCACGTAATCCGCTCCCCCGACGGGAGTACACCTCACGGGTGCCTTGGGTGTTGTACATAGTCCAATCATCCTGCTGGTGAGTCTTCCGCGGACCCCATTGCGAAGGGGTCGGAGGCGGCCAAGACAGATGTGCAGGCAGGCGGGGAATCGTTCCCCCCACGGCACCCTCCATGGAGGCTGCAGTCGTGAACACCAAAGACGCAGAGGTTTGTGGGACCGATCCCGAGTCCCCCTCCGTGTTAGGTAGATTTCCCTCAATTCCGCTCATGATCTTGTCAGATTCGGAACGATAGGAAAAGGGAGTTCTAACAATATGTTGGATCCCCAAGCATCGAGAATAAATCCACGTTTTAAAGAAAAGCAAAATTTATTTCAAAGCGTTGAAGACATACTCAAACACGTTCTTTGTTAGAACTGGGGATACACAGTCAGGTCAAGCATAATAAAGGAACTTCAAACAGATACAGATCCAATGAATATCTTTCCCGCTGGCGGGCTAAGGAAACGGTTGCGCGCCCAGTACATGAGAACCAGGCAGAACATCAGACAAAACACAGGTGCAGTAGTCCTGGGAAAATCAATAGGCAAGCATTACAGCATCTTCTCCCCCACACAACCTCCAGCAGTTATCTTTTGCATTCCAAAGCAGGAACAGGATGATAGAAGCCAAGCCGGGTGTAACAGGGAAAGGATATGTACACAGAGGTCACAGAAAACAGAATGGCAGCTTGCTGACATCTGGGCATAATTCCTCTCCACTGTGGATAGAGTCCTGGAATAGAATGCTATGGAGGCCTCCCGGATGGTTGGCAGCTTATGGCTGAGGACTGCCTCGATCCCATAGGGCAACGCGTCGCAGGCCAAAATGAGGGGCTTCTTCTTATCATAGTGGACGAGTACTCTGTTGGAGACCAGAAGAGCTTTGATGGCTTGGAACTCTGCTTGCTCCTTGAAACCCCAAGCCCACTGCGCTGATTTATTTAAGAGCCGATGAAGAGGCTCAGCGATGGCTGCTTTCCCCAGTAGTAAGGAGTGGTAAAAATTAAGGAGTCCTAAAAAGGACTGTAGCTCCTTCTTCGATTTTGGTGGGGGTGCTGACCGCCTTCTCTGGCGCAGGATGGATGCCATCTTTGTCCAGGAGAAACCCCAAGAATTTGATCACGGGAATGAAGAATTCACACTTTTCCCTTTTTACTTGAAGGCCGGCCTTCTGTAGGCGACTGAGCACCTCTCTAACACGAACAGTCAGTTCCAATTCCAAGGCTCCCACTATCAGCACATCATCAAAATAGGGGATGACGTCTGTCAAGTCCTTTAAAAGGCACTCCATCAGTTCTTGGAAGATCCCGGGGGCGACGCTTACCTCAAACTGCAATCGGTTTACCTTGAAGGTGCCTCGATGCATCAAAATAGTCTGGGCCTCGGTTGTGGCTGCGTCTACAGGCAATTGTTGGTATGTCTCTACCAAATTGATTTTGGCGAACACCTGGCCCCCAGAGATGGACGCTAGGAGATGGCTCACCACAGGAACCAGGTACGCATGCTGCTGCTACTAAGTCCCGAGCAATGTCTAATACAACCTGGCTTCAGGTACTTAAGAAAGTGGCACGGCAGACATTGTCTCCTTCAATACCATTTGCTATAAGGAAGCAATCAAAACGGTCAAGGTAGGAGTCCCAGTTCCCAACCTTGGAGTTGAACGGTTTGATATGGCCCTTGGATGCCATGCCCGTAGTGATTTAGCTCTAGGCGCCCTCAGTGATTCAGCTTGGGCAGGCAGAGAGTAATTTTCCCATTTGGTTCGACCTGGGATCCCATCCTCATCACCAGTTTAGTGTATTGAAAGGCGGGAGACGATTCTCAATTCAAGGCTTTATTCATAACATTACTGAGCTCTGATCTGCTTTGATAAGAGCGGCACCCAGACTTATACCATCCCAGTATTGAACTATATACAGTGTTGCTACTTTCATGAGGTCTGATTGGACCTAAATGAAGCTTCCTGATAGGGTACTCTGTATGGCTTCAGGACCACTAGAAGGTCTTTATTAGAAAGCCAATCACGACAAAGGAAACTAGGGGGAATTTCACACTACCTGTTTTCTCCCGGTTTCAAACCGGGAGTCTTCCGTTTCTAGATGAACCGGTACAGGGCTGCCGTTTCACACACGGCTTGCCCCTACCGGAAAGGAGACGATTGAGAAGCGGTTCGGCGTTTCACACTGGCACCGCTTTGTTTTCCCGCCGTTTTCTTCCCGGTTTTTTTTTTTTTGAACGTTCGACTTATAGCGATATATTGATATATCGCTATACCAGAACCCATAGCGATCCCATTGGAATACATTGACTCCACTGTGATACATGCCATGGCTGCATCTGCCCCCTGGGAACAAGTACCCTATTGGACAGCAGGCTTACAGCTGGGCACCAGGGCAGCAGGGATTGGTGACAGCAACCTAGCTAACCCTTCCATGCCCTGAGACAAGCCAGGAGAAGATGAAGGGGTGCACAGCTTGCCAGCTGGAGACAAACACACCATTGGACAGCAGGATTTGGAGGGAAAGCAGGGCATCAGGGATTGGTCAGACAGATGTTGCTACCCCAGCCTGATGTGCACCCATCCTGGACAAGAGGCGATTGGCTGGCACAGAGATGGAACAGGTATAAAGGGCAGGGAGGGAAAAACCCCACCTCTGTGGGTTGAGGTTGGAGTTTGGCAGGCTGGTTTTTGGTGGATTTGTTTTGGTGTGACTGTGTGAGAGGCTACTGATCATCATGGTCTCCATAACCATCTTGCTGCAAATGATCCTGGAGGTGTTGCACATGATGATCAGCAGCACAGAAGCTTTGATTGAGGTGCTTACACAGTACCTTCATCTTTCTAGGAGGAGGAGGGAGAGGAGGAGGAGAACAGACCTGCAGGCTTTGAGCCATGCACCCTCCAGGTACAACCGGAGGGCATCCATCAGGGCATGGGCTCCAGTCATTGCTGCCCATACAGTCCCACGACGCTGGTGGGTGAAAGACAGGAGTGAGGACTGGTGGGACAACACGGTGATGGCCACATGGATCGATGAGGACTGGCTCAAGAATTTCAGGATGTCCAGGGCAACCTTCTTTGAGCTAGCTGGCACCCTGAGGCACCGTCTGGAGCGGCAGAACACACGGATTAGGCCATCCATTCCGGTGGAGAAAAGACTGGCCATCACCCTGTGGTACCTGGCAAACCAGGAATATTTCCGGAACCTCAGGCATCAGTTCGGGGTGGGCCTGTCAACGGCGTTTATTATCATGAAGGAGGGGTGCCGAGCAATTCTAGAGGAGCTGTTCAAAAAGAAGGTCTGCCTTCCAAATGAAGTTGGATCAGTGAGTATGGATTCTGTATTTTCAGGAGTTCCATGGGGTTCACTTTACACAGATGCTTGCCAAGGGTCTTTTGTAGGTTCAGTGACAGCACTGTGATTTTGGTTCCATACATTAAGTAGCCATAGGTAACTCTCAGCTGTTTCTATGGATAATGACTCTCACTATTCTGTAACGGCATTCATGCTAGTCCAGTGCAGAAATGTGTCATCTACCTATTTTTCATCTGTTACAGAATCATTTTTTCTGGTCCATATTGATTTTATATGTTGTATCCCTTCTGATCGTGTCTACATGACTGTGTTATATGTTCATAGCCATCTTGCCACTCAATTATTATGACCTCTGAGGAAGGCCTATGCAGGCTGAAAAGCAGTAGGACAGGTTTTTAAAGCCCGTGTGATTCCTAGATACCTTTTACAATCAGGTTTTTATTTTGGCCCACTTTTTCACATTGCACTAAGCTCTGTTAGGTTCTGAATTTAAGTGTTATGGTTCAGTTTTCTGCCCTTTCTGTCCCTGCTCATCTACCGAGTGGCCGATCTCTTCTTCTGTGTGCAAGGACCAACTGTATAGCAAGAAGGGTCACTGTGCTGAAATGCCTTCCCTCCTTGCTCTTACAGACAAGCAGAACAAGTGGTCTTGCAAGATTACAGGGGGCCAAGTTCAGTCAATTGCCCTTTTTCACTGTAGTTCCCTTTGCGACATGGGATCTTCTGAACCCTCAGCAGACAGCTTTGGGGTGGGTGTTTCATTTAAGTACGCACAGCCCCAGCTCACTGCCCATTCCCACCTATGCAAACCCACTGGGCCCTCTCCCCATGCAACCCATTCAGCAACTCCTGCTTGAGGGTCTTAGTAGTACTGCTCATTCTATTGGATAAGATCTACCAAAATACTTTCCAGCAAGGGAAAGGGCACATAACTCAGCACACACCCGGCACCCACTTTTAAGAATCTGAGACTCATGGCAACAATGTACTTGTTTTGTAATGCTGCTAACTCAGTGCTCCTTTTGGCATGTAAGGGCACTGTGTTAAATAGAATTTAACTTAAATAAATAGATTGAAATAAATATCTATGTCTGTACTGAGGATATTGTCTCAAGTAGCCGGTAGCCAGTAGTGCTTGATGTTAAATGGAAAACTTATTGCAGATATCACTGCTGTTCTTCCCATACAGATAATGGATGGATTCGCCAGGATGGGCTTTCCAAACTGCATCGGTGCACTGGATGGGAGCCACATACCAGTTGCTCCCCCGGCTCAACGGGCACACATATATAAAAACAGAAAAGGTGGTCACTCCATCCTTCTGCAGGGAGCTGTGGACCACAGAGGTCGATTCATTGATGCGGAGATTGGCAAGTCTGGCAGGAACCATGACTCCAGCGTTTTCCGTTCTTCTAAACTTTGCAGGGCAATGGATGGTGGGGTGTTTGTCCCTGGGAACCCCACCATCACTGTGAATGGTGTAACAATCCCTCCTCTGATGTTGGCCGATGGGGGTTATCCCATCAGAGGGTGGCTCATGACACCCTTCAGAAGCCCCACTGCCCATATGGAGAAAGTTTTTAACAAGCGGCACGCAAAAGCACGTGTTGTGGTAGAGCGGGCGTTTGGTAGACTAAAATCCAGATGGAGTTGCCTTACTAAAAGACTGCGAGTCAAGGAGGAGGACTTTACCCCCATCACTGCGGCCTGTGTGGTGCTCCACAATATTTGTGAGGAAAAGGGACACCTGGCAGAGTCCCTGGGGGCAGGGGACATTCCATTATTACCTGTACCCCCTCCAGATGTCCTGTCTGATCGTAGACACAAAACACGGGGTGAAAGGGTGCGGGCTGCATTAATGACTGTGGTGTGTAACGAGGAATAAAGAGTAGGCTATTTTTGATCACTACCACAGTTATATCTGTTCAGAAATAAAAGTTTGCATTTTTGTTTAGCAATCATAAGCCTCAGATTCTCTAATGTTGTCTCATTTCTGCCCAGGTATGCTAACAATCTGGGGTTCTATGGTCATTCCTGCCCAAAATGATGGGGCAAGGGGGTGGGGGGTGGGTTGTTAGCGGAATACACTCCTCCTAGGAAATCATAGCAGAAATGCAAGAGGTATCATTGCACAGCAGAGGTTAAAACATATCAAGGGGACATATCAATTACTGAAAACTATGAAAACTCTTTTCAAAACAGTTTTAATTTAACAATAAATACCGAAACTTTTAACAGCGAACTATATGCATGAACTTTAGAACTGGATAAAAACCAAACTATATACACATCACTGTCCACCAGCATCCCGCAATGGAGGGTCATCTGGAGGCCTGGCAGCAGCCTCCAGGGCCCTGATGCGCTGTTCCACTGCGTCAACTGTTAGGGGAAAGGTACATTGGTTAGTTTATATTGCTGGACTTTAAGGTATTCCACCCATCGTACCCTCTTTAAAGATAACATGCATCTGTTACTCACTGCGGGCCTGCTGGCGCTGGTCCATGGCCTCCAGGTCTGCCCTCCGTTCGGCCCGCATGGCATCAACTGTTAGGAGAAAAGGCACATTGGTTAGTTTCTATTGCTGGTATGCCACCCATCGTACCCTCTTTAAAGATAACATGCATCTGTTACTCACAGCGGGCATCTATGTGCGCCATTATATCGGCCCGCATGGCCTCCAAGAATGCCATCACTGGCGGCCTTTCTTCCCCTGTTGAAAATACAAAGGTGATCAATAGGCACGTGAGCACAGGGAGCTTCTTTGGTGCTCCCAATTCACCTCCATCCTCTTAGAATGGTGGAAGGTGTCATGGTGCTCAGGCTTGGGTAGTATCACCTGACACCTTATAGGACAGAACCGGGAACTTTCAGCATGGACTGACCAGGCTGTCCTAGCCTGCCATGTCACCTTCCCCTCACTTGTGATGAAATGGGGACCCGCCCACAGCCCTGGGAGACTGAGCAGCCGGTCTGTGGCTCACAAGTACCTGTTCTCACCTGCCCACACTGCCTGGTGGGGCTATTTCCCTTCGTAATTTCCTGCCCCTGCTCACCGAATCCACACCGCCTTCCTTGAGGGACAGTGAGAACCCTCTGGCTGATTCTCCAACCAGGGAAAGTGGGTACCACAGTCTTTGGGCACCCCCTGGAGAGTTGGGAACACCTCTGATGTGGGGCCATTTAGTTTCCCTGGCCTCCCTTTTGCCTCTGGTAACGTGCTGAGCAGGGA